GGTAAAAGTTTTAGTTAATTAGTTTAATTTGATTTATAGTAAAACTTGATTTCAATAAGGCAATAAATGCTGGCAATCTAGTGATGAATGAGATTTACTAATGAAATCCTGAGCTTTGCAATAAGTTAACCATGGCTGTAAAAGACATTTGCATAAGGAGCGTTTGGACATAGATGATGGCGGTGGGATGGTTGTGAGGATTCTGGGTACCTCTGTGGATGAGAAGGATGTCGCTCTCGTTAACAGGACGATGAACCATGTCTGAGTCCGGCTGGCCAGCCAGCAGATGCTCGTAAAACCACTCACAGCGATCCTTAAAAGGCTGGAGGGAACAACAAAGACTTCACTTTAACGAAGGCCGCGCTGCACTTTTCCAAGCTAATTACCACGCTGCTGCGCCGTCAACTTTCAGGCTGAGGATATTTCAGTGCTGGTGGGTCGAAGAGGCTTTGGAGGTGAAACACTCATCTCTAATACAGAGATGAGGATTGAGTCTATTTGCATAATACATGCCTCTGTGCCCCAAGCCTTAGAGGTAGACTGAAGGATGAGCATGAGAGAAAAAGACAAAGGCTTCTCCCTCAGGGCTGTGGGGCAAACTGGAAACGAATCAGCAGATGAAATCAAATTCAGCAGGTTAAAGTCTGTAATTAAAACAAGGGCCTACTCCCGACTGAGCTATAATCCATGGGTAACGAGGCACAAATACTACGGCTCATATATAAACACTGAAGAGAGAGAAACTCAGAGCAGCACTTAAAATGCATGAATCAATATAAATTTAACTTAAGACAAGTGTTATCACCATAGATGTAATACTGTTAAATGATGCTGAAGTGAAGACAGCAGACTTTCAAAGTCATTTCTCATAAAGTAGTTAAGAAATAGGGAACACGTAAAGACTAAGCTGAGTGCATCTGATGCCTGAACTGATGGACAAATGAAGAATCTCTGCCTTAATGTCTGAAATGCTTCTGAATGAGATGTTGAGCAGATTTCTGAAGATCCCAAATTCATTAGAACACATTCAGTCCAAGGAAAAATCTAGAAACGTAGAAGCTCTAACATGTGGAGGTTTAACCATCAGGCAATACTAGGCAGTTACCTAGGGCCCAAAGTTCCTGGGGGCCCCATAACACTCTGTTTACATGTATGGTTAATACAACTATTCCTTATTTTCTGCACATTAATTATGTTTTTGATAAAAGATCCTTCCACCCCCCCTTCAGTGTCCACCATATTGGATCAGTCCATTTGCTGCACATGTTCAGAAAGGTCCAAACAGACAGCAGCAAACCATTTGAAAACAAACCATGCAAAGAGCAGTGTTGCCAACTTAGCGCTTTAGTCGCTATATTTAGCCACTTTTCAGACCCCTCTAGCACTTTGATTTCTAAAAAGCTCCTAGCGCCAAATCTAGAGACTTTTTTCTGCTACTGGAGACTTTGGAGACAACATCTAAAAGCAACGAACTCTGCTCTCCAGAGCAAGTAGATTGGTTCCTGTATCAATATATTAAAGAGTTTTGATGTATGGTTTTCCTTGCCACCATCAGAACCTTTTAAAGTATTTCCAATAAGATGTTAAAGAACGTTCTGGAGTGATTGGGCTTCTCTCACTGTGAAGAACAGTATTACTTTCAGGTTAAACCCCCCCCACATCTTTCCGTTTCTATGAAAGTGACGTCATAGAGACTTGACACATGGGAGGCAACTTATCTCCCTCAGTCATTTCAACTCTATTCAATTTAGTTTATTTTTATAGTACCAATTCACAACTCATGTCATCTCAAGGCACTTTACAGAGACAATTAAACCAGATAATCTAGTAAGATTGGTTTAAAGTTTTCCATCCAAGGAAAACCAGCTGATTGCATCAACTCCTTGAAGCCCGTGTGCTAAAGCAAAAACTGCTTGGCTGGAGGCTAGTGCCAAATAACCGGCCCTAATGTGGCGATGGAACATCTCAAGCCTGTAACATCGGAAGCTAAAATAATGTCAACTTCTTTTGCACAGCACAAAAACCAGTCAGTGAAGGTTTCACTCAAACAATTGCATCATGGAGAAAAATCCTCATTTTATCCGTGTCCGACTTCCAAAATATTATTTCAGTTAACTCTAGTAAAATCTTCTGACTCCTCATCCTTGGTGCCTCGTTCATCAAGAACTGCTTTAAAATGTCAAAATGTCTCCGATTTTATGATCAATCAAATTTCTTGAACACACTTTAGTGAGTGA